TCTTTTCTCACCCCTTCGGTGGGTAAAGGAAAAGTTAGGGTCTTGCCACAGAATGAGGGCATTTGAAATCACCTAACTCTTCTACAATATTTGTGTCAAGTGGTTTTCCAGTCTCCAATTAAACACTTGTAGGATGAGAAATTTACTACTTTATTTGAGTTCTAACAATTAGATATTTTCAAAACTAAATAAAAACATGCCAGATTCTCAAGGATAAGACTTTTTCTTTTTAACTCACTTGGCTTGAGCCGATGCCCAGGGCCTTTGGTCTCCCCAAGTCTCTGTGATCATTGCGATGGTGACACTGGTTCAGATGACACCTCCTCCCTACTGGGGACCACACCAGAGCAGAACTCCCTTTTGAGGGGTGGAGCTGGCTGTCCAGCTCAGAGGCTTGTAAAATTGCCAATTTTTAGGGGCAGCAAGACTTGAAGAGAGTGACAAGAAATAGTGGCTCCAGTTCCAAAGAATCCACATGACATTTGGGTTGAAGAGCTGGGCTTCTACCACAAGGAGGAGCATTTGTTTCTTTGCATGGAGCAACACAGGTAACAGCATCGAGGCTATAGCCATGGCCTGCACAAGTCTGTCCCAGGCTTCACACTGGAAGCTTCCCCTGCTCCTGGTATCTGGCCTCTGGGCAAGTGCCATAGCAGGAGAGGAGCATGAAGAAGAGCCATAGATTGGATGGTCTTTTACAGCTCTTCTACCCAGAGGAATCCTTTTGGATACCACTACTCCCCTCTTTAATGAATAGTCATCAATGTTCATGCACAGATAAGGTTCTAAATATTTAAATATTTTTTAATGTTGTAGGAGAAGAAATTTGGTCTTATAGCCTTTGCCTTATGAGATTGCAGGGGCCACTGAATTTCCATGGGCACCACGTTCCCATTAGCCTAAACAAGAAAGCAAAAGCTAGAAGAGTTGAGCTCAGAGTTTGGCATTCTGTGGGTCTATGTTAAGAGTACAGCAGGGTTTGTCTCCCCCAAACTCATGCAGGTGTACAAACTAATGTCCTCATGTTGATAGTTGATTAAGCGTGGAGACTTGATTTAATGATGGCCTCTAAGAGGTGGGGATAGTGAGAGGCCTTTGGGTCTTTGAGGTTGTGGGGAGCAACCTGGACTGGACTAAGTTACTGGAATTAAGACTTATTCTATGCATCTGCTCTCCCACAATATGGCGCTGGGAGAGGAGAAAACAGCTTCTGCGCAGCTGCCTCTTGCCAACTTGAGTGATGACCTCCAGGAGCTGATCCTGCTCCTGATTGGAGGAGAGCAGCGTACTCGGCGTGTGGGCAGCCGAGTTGGGATTGGCGGAGGAGGACTATAAAGGAGGAGAGAGACGGCATGCACCAGGAACATCTAAGGGGAACACCTGTGCAGCCCCCGAGAGAGCCGGCTGGCGGTGTGCCGCTCCCCCGCGGAAGTGGGGAATGTGGCAGGGAGAACCGCCCTTCCAAGGAGGTGGAAGGGTCGGTAGCCAACCTGGGAAGAACCAGCAGCAAACCCAGGGAGGGCCGAGCAGACAAAAGAACAGCGCAGGGTCCTGTGTCGTTCCTCCACGAAGACGGGGAGCGACATAATGGTGCCGTGACTCGGATAGGAAACTTGGGAGGGAAGAAACGGGAAGAAGTGGAAAATACTGGAGAGAGAGACTAGCAAAGAGCCTAGGGGAAAGCCGGACGGAAAAGGTGCCGGAAGAAGCTATTGAAAGCCTAGGCATAGACTCGGATATGGACTGTGGGAAAGAAGTTAGGAGTTAAAGTGAAAGCAAGAAGAAACTTAGACTAGGATGCGGACTATGGCGGGGAAGCTAGGAGATTGAAAGCGAAAGTGAAAGCTAGAACAAACAGACTCGGATACGGACTGTGGGGAGAGGCCAGGAGAAATGAGAGAGGAATATTGTTGGAAGAAAAGTTAGGGAAACATACCAGGTAGAGAAAAATGTTAGGGAGGATGAAGCCGCGAGTGCAGGCCGAGGCGGAAACGTAAGCCAGTTTGGAATTCTTTAAGTCAGCCCGGGGGGCAAAAGGCGAAAATCTGGAACCAGAGGCAGAGACGTGGGCCGCCAGGTTGGAATCCGTCAGATTAGCCCAGGGAGCAAAGGATGGGAAGCCAGACCGAAAGGCGCAGACGCATGAGCTGGGTTGAATTCGCCAGGTTAGCCCGGGGAACTTGGATTGAATGCTAGTGGCGGAAACGTGAGCTGGGGCTGTGTGACTCGCAGAGGCTGCCGCACGCAGAGAGAGTGTGCAGGGCACAAGTAGATAGGGAACGCTGGGCTAGTGCGAGGCCATGGTGTGGGCGCCGGCGGGGCGAGGCGCCAGGAAGCCGCGCAGAGCCGTGAAGCTGCCGTGGGGCGAGGCGCCAAGAAGCAGCCTCGGGGCGGGCGCCAGGAAGCCGCAGGGATAAGAGAAACAGAAGTTTAGAAGTAAAATGAGAGAAATAGGAATGCTGGTAGATAGAAGTAAAATAGGAGAGATAGGAATGCCCAGAGATAGAGAAATAGAGAAAAATAAAGCCTCCCCTCAACATGGCAATGAGAGAGCTTGGATTCGGTCTGCCTGATTAGGGAGGTGGTGAGCACCTGTGGGCGGCTAGCAGCTTATGTGCCGCAGGTCACCGAAGACAGGCACGAATTAACATCAATAAGTCTCCCCACAATACCGTAATGAGAAGGCTTGGATTCGGTCTGCCTGATTAGTAAGGCAGTAAGCACCAGCAGGCAGCTCGACCAGAGTATGAGCTGCAGGTCACCGAAGATAGGCACGAATCAACACCAATAAGTCTCCCCACAATACGGCAATGAGAAGGGTTGGATTCGGTTTGCCTGATTGATAGGGCTTGTAAGCACCTGCAGGCAGTTCTAGCAGAGCAGAGCATGCGCTGCAGGGCACCGAACTCAGGCACGCATCAGCGCCTAAAAACCTCCTCACAACATGGCGAAGAGAGGACCCGGATTCGGTTTGCCTGATTGATAGGACTTGTAAGCACCTGTGGGCAACTCTAGCAAGCAGAGCAGAGTGTGTGCCACGGGACACCGAAGACAGGCGCATATCAACGCCAAAAAATAAAAAGAAAGGGGGATCTGTGGGGAGCAACCTGGACTGGACTAAGTTACTGGAATTAAGACTTATTCTATGCATCTGCTCTCCCACAATATGGCGCTGGGAGAGGAGAAAACAGCTTCTGCGCAGCTGCCTCTTGCCAACTTGAGTGATGACCTCCAGGAGCTGATCCTGCTCCTGATTGGAGGAGAGCAGCGTACTCGGCGTGTGGGCAGCCGAGTTGGGATTGGCGGAGGAGGACTATAAAGGAGGAGAGAGACGGCATGCACCAGGAACATCTAAGGGGAACACCTGTGCAGCCCCCGAGAGAGCTGGCTGGCGGTGTGCCGCTCCCCCGCGGAAGTGGGGAATGTGGCAGGGAGAACCGCCCTTCCACGGAGGTGGAAGGGTCGGTAGCCAACCCGGGAAGAACCAGCAGCAAACCCAGGGAGGGCCGAGCAGACAAAAGAACAGCGCAGGGTCCTGTGTCGTTCCTCCACGAAGACGGGGAGTGACAGGGGTGTGCCCCTAAAGGGTATATCTCGTGAGAGCTTTGATTATTTCTGATGAATACTTCACAGTTTCTCTCTCCTTCCTGGCTCACAATGTGATTCTGCATGCGCACCTGCAATAAGCAGCCTCCATGGATACCAAACTATGAGAACAACCAATCCTGTAACCTGAAATTGTGGGCTGAAATGAGCCTTTTCTTTCCCAAGAAGCTCCTCTTGGGTATTCAGAAGTAACAAAAAGCAAACTCCTAAATCTTCATGCCAAAAGATACCCACTGCCACCTATTCTATCCACCTCTCAGTTGATGGATGAGTTAGAGAGACTGAGTTGGAATAAAACAGAATTCTTCATTGGGCATAGCATATTTCAATTTTTACTTTGAGAAAACTACATAACTGCAATCACAGTGATCATTATAATGTGGTCATGCCAATTCCATTTAATCCTCCAAAGCACCTATGAGATAGGTACTGACTGCCATTCTGGAAGTGGGAAAGTCAAGGTTTAGGTCAGCCAGGTAATTTGTCCACACTTACTAGCAGGTAAGTGTGGAGTTAGAATTCCAGTCTAGGCAATGTAATTTTAGAGCCCAATCCCTTACTCTTTATAACTTGTTTGATGTTGAAAAATATGTATGTAGTTGCATAGATCCATAAAATCCACATATGCATATCCATAAAACCAGAGGAAACCAATAATATGTTTATATCAATGTCTTTTTTCCCCTGTCTGTATCTACACAGGTATTTCTGTCCATATAGGTAATATATCTCTATATCTGCAATGACATATCTCTTCCATTCAGCAAGAAATGCTTGGTGGACTTAAGGTCCCTTATGACTACTTAAGGTTGTTGGAGGTCATTTATCCCAGGATAGAACTAGGAAAGGGAAGGAGTGTGTGAGACCAAGATGATATTTTAGCTATAAATAATGAGCATATCAGAGGTTTTGCATTCTCAAAAATACTGCTTTAGGCTAATTGTAATACTCAGAACATACTGTGATTCCCAATAGGTATTTTACTCATAAATTAACAAACATGTAAACCATGTCAGAGAATAATAAAGTGGGAAGCCATATCCCATGTGCCTACCACCCAACTAGCACTTAATGGTACCCGCAACAATGAAAGTTAAAATCACACAATCACATGATGAGAAAGTACAAACACTAGAGTAGAAGGTGGAAAATAAAAAGTGAAAGTCCCTACCGACCCCATCTTGCCCTCAGACCCTCTTTTCTAGAAAGGGACGTGTACTCCTTTCACTGAGCAGCTTCCGTCTTCCTTCTTTGTGGGTGTCTAAATTAGTGTTCCAAGTACACTGCACACTGGACCTATTTCAATGATTTTCACATGCAATTAATACTAATATTGATAAAAGACTGATAAAAGACTCATAATTGTGAAGCACTTATTATGTGCCACCCATTCTTTTTTTTTGATGTTGTAAAATCAAATTACTACTTTATTAAATGAGTTATTTTACACAATATGAACATCAATATAATTACAATTGTAAAAAAATTTTTATAACAAGGATGGACTGATTTCCAGATTTCCAAATCAGAGTCAACTGTACATTTACACAGAATTGTCTTTGCATGAAGCTCAAAAGGGAACAGCATAAAAATGAGTGTTTTTGTAGCCCCTGTATTTTTGCTGATCAACAGTTTGTTAGAAAAGCAGCTGCAGGTTTGTTACCTAGGGTCTGAGACAGAAGAAGAGTCAGAGGTGTCACAAATTTGCCTGTAAACAACTTTATGCCTGAACATCAGCCAATTCTGGAGGAAGCGGAGTCTTAGGATGTTTGCTCTCAAAGTGCTGCTTGAAGGTCTTAGGGCCTGGCATTTGTGTCCTGCAGACAGTGCAGGTGTATATTAAGGCAGCTTTGGCAGCAGCCTTTTTGTCATGTCCTTGTTTCTTCTTTTGTCCAGCTTGCTTCTTGGCATTTTTCTGCTGAGAATGAATCTTCTGCTGTCCACGAGCCATATCTTCTTGAATTAGTCTGCACAGACTCTTGCTCTCCTGTGGAAGGGTGGATGTGCCACCCATTCTTCTAAGCATTTTGTATACATTTATGACTTGCATTCTCACAAAGCCCTTATGGACTCCTTTACCAAGAGTCCTTTTTCTTAAACTCCCCTTAATGACAATTTAAGGGGCCAGAGCTGTAGCACAGTGGGTTAAAGCCCCAGCCTCCAGCACCAGCGTCGTCCCATATGGGCATCGGTTCGAGCCCCAGCTGCTCCACTTCCAACCCAGCTCTCTGCTATGGCCTGGGAAAGCAGTAGAAGATGGCCCAAGTCCTTGGGCCCCTGCAAGTGCATGGGAGACCCAGAAGAAACTCCTGGCTTTGGATCAGCTCAGCTCTGGCCATTGGAGTCATCTGGGGAGTGAACCAGCAGATGGACAACCTCTCTATGTAACTCTTTCAAATAAATAGAATAAATCTTTTTAAAAATGACTCAATTCAAGTGTGCAGCTTGTTTCCTGCTAGGATGCTGAGTAACACAAACATATGACATGATCTGTATGATGCCATTAAGAAAACTGAGACAAGAAGAAGTTATGAGTCTGTGCAAGGTACACAGCCCGTGGTGGTGTGACTAGACACACGAATTTTCTCCCCAGCAACTATGCTCTCTCCCTCTCTACACAGTAACTCATCTTAGAGACACACCTACGAATACCCTCATAAGACTCTCCAGTACTTCTCAGGGCTTAGCTAATACAGACACTGTTTCTGCAAATTCTCTTATATGTCTGGCTTGGAAGATATATGGAATTATATCTATAGCACACATTATTGGCAGTGCTAAGTTAATGAGTATGTGTAATCTTAATTTGAGGAAATATTGTTAAATTGATGCCTTAGTTGATCCAATTAAATGCACTCATATACTATGATCTAGTCACTCTACTCTAAATAGACACAGATAGATCTAGGTACATATATATGGGCACAGATGCAGATACGGATATAAATATAGCAAATAAATGGCCATACATTTTCATAAAGGGACTTGTACAAGAACATCCATTGCAGATTTGGGAAGGATTTGTAATTATATTTTGTTTTTATTTGGAGCACAGGTGAGAAGTTTGTGGCAAGTAGGAGCCCATCACTGGGGTATGGATGTGTAAACCTTGGCGGATACACACCATGGGATTCTGTGCAGCCAGTTAAACATGGGCATAATAATATTGTAAATATAGTACTAAGTGGGGGCTAGTGCTGTGGCTCACTTGGTCAATCCTCCGCCTGTGGCATCAGCATCCCATATGGGCACCGGGTTCTAGTCCCAATTGCTCCTCTTCCAGTTCAGCTCTCTGCTGTGGCCAGGGAGGGCAGTGGAGGATGGCCCGGGTGCCTGAGCCCCTGATCCCGCATGGGAGATGAGGAAGATGCACCTGGCTCCTGGCTTCAGATTGGCGCAGAGCCAGCCGTGGCAGCCATTTGAGGAGTGAACCAGTGGAGGGAAGACCTTTCTCTCTGTCTCTCTCTTTCACTGTCTATAACTCTACCTGTCAAATAAATAAAAAAAATAAAAAGTACTGAGTGAAGAAAGATGTATACTATAATGCCATTTAAAATACATCCACATAAAGCAGTATCTCATAACTTAGAAAAACACATGAGAAAGATAGACATTAGGAGTCAGCACTGTTGTGTAGTAGGGTTAAACTGCCACCTGTGATGGCAGCATCCCAGATGAACAGTGGGGCAAGTCCCAGCTGCTCCACTTCTGATCCCGCTCCCTGCTAATGTGCCTGGGAAAGCAATGGAAAATGGCCCAAGTATGTGGGCCCCAGCCATCCACATGGAAAACCCAGATGAAGTTCCAGGCTCTTGGGTTCAGCCTGACCCAGCACTAGCCATCACAGCCATTTAGAGAGTAAACCAGCAGATGGAGGATCTCCCTCTTTCTCTGAACTCTGCCTCTCAAATAAATAAAACAAGTATTTTAGAAAAAAATATACATAACATGTAAGAGGAGTGATTGCCTACAGGAGTCTGTTATGTGGAAGGAAGGGGAAGTGAATACATGAAGGTGGAGAAAGATAATTGTCAAAGTTCCTTCTTGAAAGATAATGATATCACATTACTACCTGCAATGTAAAAGAGTAAACTTTTTTTCACAATATTTCCATCAGGGAGTATTATCAAACTTAAAGAGTAATTTCCCAAGGTGATGGCTATTATCAAACTTAAATTTTCCCCATTCCAATGATTCAGCTTTGCATTCTTCTATTACAAATGGAGTTGAGCTATTTGTGTGTCTTTTTCTGCAACTTGGGGTGCTTTGCATTGCGAGAAGTGTCCCTTGCTCTTCAAAGGACTGGTAGAGCCACAAAGGCAATCTTAGATCAACAGGTCTCCTGCCATCCACACATGTAAAGTCACACAGTGACTACACAATAAGAACAAGCATGGATGCCATAATTGCCTCCACACCCTCTCTCCAGTTCTGAAGTCCCAATGTCTTGGCAACCTCACAACCCCTTCAAACCAGGAGACTATCGTGCTTGCTCAGTAACCTCAGCTGCATATTCAGATCATTGCAAACTCCATTTCAAATGCACTCACATTTACTGCATCAAACAGCACTTCCCCCTCTAAACTGAGTTACTTAATGTTGTGGGACTGTTTCCATGAGCTCTTTATGCTTAGCTGTGGCTTTTTTTAAACTTTCCCCTCCATACACACCACCACCACCCCTCCTTTTCTTTTCTTTTCTTGGAAGAAGTTGATCGTTTGCCAAAAATAAATGAAACTCTGGCTCCAAGTTCAACTCAGAATTTACTAGCTGATGAATTGGAAGGAGGCGGGGTGGTTTGTGAAGGTGGGCGAAAGTGGAGAGGGGGAGGCAGGCTTTCACTCTGGGGCAAGCTGGAACTCAGAATTAGAGGCTATTAAAGTGTCTGATCTGTGCTGAGTCATGAGGAGGCAGGGGTCAGGGGATGACGCTGGCTCCCTGCCAGTCACATGTTCTGCCCAGGTTGATGAAGAGCTTGCAAAGAAATTACAGCAGGAAAATAATTTCACCAGCATTTTAAAAATAACATCAGAAGCCACATGCATGACACCGAGTAAGCAATCGGCTTTGGCTTCTATGTTTCTCAGACTGGTACCTGAGTAGACGATTGCCTGGGCGCCCACATTCCCACTCGTCTCTTCCCCCAACTTTATCCACTATGACCCTTCCTCCCACTGTGTCTCCCTCCTCCAGCTGAGCCTTTCCAGAGCCTCCCATTCGACAACAGGTTAGGCAGAGCCATGGAGAAAACAACAGTGCCAGGACGTGAGATTTCCTAAGACACTGATAACAATGATGATGGTATTAGCTCATCTAACACTGAAAACAACCTTATAAGGCAGAGAATTGTGTCTCCTTTGTGCAGATAAAGAAAAAGAGAAAAGACTTAAACAACTTTTCCCAGGTTACGAAATACACAACTGGGATTTGAACTAGAGTTTCTGAGCTCCTTGTCTCCACCACCTCTGCCCCCCTTTCAAGTACCTTCATCTCACCATCCCCACGAGATGCTCCCACCATGTTTCTGAGATTTGGCACTTGCTCTTCTCTTACAAGGCAAAGAAGAGCAGCCAGGGGCAGATTGCTCTAGGTCTCCAGACCCTCCATGCCTTTTCCTCACCCAGATTTGACTTCAAAGGCCATGCTAACATGCAGTCACTGCTTTTTACTCTCAACATTTCACTATCACACAAGAATTGGAAGAGTGATGCAGTGAACACCCACTTACTTGGCACCTGAATGCTACAGTTAAGGTTTTGCTTTGTTTGCTTCCTCTACTACCTCTCTCTCCACACTATTGTTCATGTAGCCCATCTCTTTTTTTTTGGGGGGGGGGATGCATTTCAAAGTAAGTTGAAGACTTTACTGTATCACACCTCTACATTCTTATTTGCCCCCCTCCAACTTTTTTTTTACTTTATACAAAATAGGAATGGTTGTCAAGTGCTTATGTCAGGCACCTGCATTACATAATCTGATCCTCACCATAAAGTGAGTGCAATTACCATCCACATTTTACAGATAAGAAGAAGGAAATCATAGGAAACAATGGCCACAGTTGACATAAGTGTTCTGAGGGGCCATGTGCTGGGCAAATACTTTTCATGCATTATTTCATTTAATCCCTTATAGCAATATAAGGTAAATATTATTACAGTTGAGGAAACTGACACTTACTAAGAAAGGACATGCTATCTAGCAAGTCTTAGAACTTGGATTTGAGTTGAAGGCACCTGACTCTACTCTGCTCCACTCCCATGGGTTGCTATCCTTGTAAGTAATAAATAAAGCATTTATTTCTACCATTCTCTTTTACATTTTGCAATCCCCATGTTTCGCTTTGGAATATGGCTTCTCAAGGTCAAGAGACATGCTTTACCCTTCTTGATCCCAGGTCCTCATTCAAATGCAAGAGAATGGAGATATGCTGATAAATGTTTCCTAAATAGATTCATAAGTAATGAATGGAAGGAATTGAAAGTGCCATGCCTGAGAATAGCATCAAAGAGTGATATATTCATGAACATTCTTGAAGCAATAATGAGCCTGCAGACTGGTAACAGATGCTGTTGGCTCCTGGAGCTTTCTCTACACCAAGAGGATGTACAACTTATCAAAAGTCTCCATATTATAAAGTTTGGGTACCCTGAAGGATGGATGTGTACCTGGAGGATCCCAGTGCTCTTGCCAGCTCAAGCTGGAACACACAGTCAGGTCCTGTGCTTCTGCAGGTTCTTTCATGTGCCCACTATGTGGCAAACACCAGGGGCAGGAAGGCACAAAGGTAAAACATGCAAGAACTCACTCTTAAGGAACTCAAACAGTAAGCATGACAAAAGAAAAGGTCATACTGTAAACAGGGAACAAGACAAGTACGTACATAACTGTAGCAAAAGTTATGATGGGGTACTTCATAAGAGACAAACCTAATTTTAAAGAACTTCCAAGGATGCCGGCGCCACGGCTCACTAGGCTAA